GATCTGATTAGTGTGTCACCACGTTCCACTAAGATTGGCGTATCGCGTCATGATCAATACAATCTACTCTGAACGTTGTTCTCCAGTCGTGTTCTCCCTCTTCTTACCATAGTTAGAGATTAGGCAAGAGGCGCTCGTATCGATCGTACGTATCACCAAGAACATAAAAGTAACCTGGAATTAAAGACGATACTGTGCAGTACAGTGGTTCCAACGGAATAGACATTCTGGCTATTCTTATGTTAACTACAAGTACTTTATGCAGTATCAATGAGATATGAATAGACACCCTAATAATCTTCATTCAATTACATCAAATAACATCCATCCCAGAAGCTTTCGCTCGCGATAAATGCATCGACAGATGGTGAGGAACATGAATCAGGTGAAACACTAGCATTAAAGCAGTCGAGTACTGAATTCCGGTATGAATTGGTTCCCGACAAGTGAATGTAAACTTTTCTCAGGGCATGGTGCGTAGTTATTGAAGGAGCGCGTAACTTGTTCCATTTACACAAGTACGGAAACGCCTAAGAACGTTTGCAGACAAGAACGTAAGTGCCTAAACTGAACACGACAAGCGTTGACAGTTCAATTCAGTTCTAACGACCATTAACCATGCACTTTCGTGCGCCGGGTGGATTGTTGTGTTAAGGTCATAGCACTGACAACGTCAAGGATTAAATCAGTCGGGATTATTTTTAATGTCCAGTTAAGTTTCCCAAGTGTTCATTTAAAATTGTAGATTAATTTCACGATTATTGGCAATGTAACCGACTTAGAGTAGAAAAACACCAGGAGAACAAGCGGACTTAGCTGATAAGATTGACCTAAAGAATAGTAGTACAGCTTGAACACTTTTTGGTCACTTGAAAGTGCCTTCCTTGCTGGAGGATACCTTTAAGAATCTGACTTTGCTTTGTAGGAGATACGCTTAAATGACAAAGCTCAGCGGTAGATGGAGCAAGTTCATCAAGGAGTGAAATAGTGAACAAGGTTCTATGGCTTTAATAGTTTTTATTATTCTCAGCAAAATGAGAACTTCTAAGGGGGGGACTGCGATCTATTGGAAATGGTAAGTATGATCATAATAATTAAAATAATAATGATATTCGTCAGACTTAGCTTCTGAGGTTGGGCGGAAGCCAACGATGGCCTAGATACTGTTACGGATTAAACGCTAAACTAACTGACCCCGATTCTAATTAAGAGTATACAGCTATGTGGTGCGCACCACTCAAATTATGTGCCTTAGCCACCATATCACCCTCAAAATCAATGTGATAGATACGAAAAAAATGAGAAAATATCATACATACCGACTCTTTTCAATTTGCTCATCCAAAGCATCAATGCTATCTGTCAAACCGCTCAACTCTTCCAATAGCCCCGCTTGAACAGCATCATCATTGTTCTCAAAGTAGGGCCGATTCTGGCGACCGTCAAGGCGCGTCTGGGCCAATTTCAAACTGGCCTGTTTCGCTCTCTTGACCTCTTCGAGCAATTTCATTTCTTTGAGCAACTTCTCCCATTCTTCTTCGGTCTGATAAAGAGAATCAACGAAAACAAATAACGTCGTATTAAATAGATTGATTCAGGTCAAAATGTGGGGACGAACAAAGTGAACATGTTTACTTTCAACCTTTTACTTACGACGCGGACGGATATCTGAATTGTGGGCATTTGCGATGATTATTTCAACGGGATCGAAGTTTATGCGTTGAGGCTAAGGGACTACGGGTTGTGGCTATAGCATTGCGGGTTTTGGCTAAAAAATGCAGCTGAAGGCTAAAGGATTGTGTTGGCTAAAGGAATGTAGGTCAAGGCTAAAGGATTGTGGCATGAGGCTGAGGCACGCAGGTTTTGGCTAAAGGATTATCGGTTTTTATTAAAGTTTAATGGAACAAGGTATAGGTTTTGTACACAAAATAT